CACGGGGACAGCCAGCCGCAGGGCATGCTGGGACTGGGGTGCTCGCTCTCCATGCATGCAGCAGAGGCAGAACATCATCAGCACCCGGTGTTTTGCATGAGGCACTCACATGTCCCTCACCCAGCCTTAGTCTCTGGGAGGCCACCTTGCAAAAAGAGGCTGTGGTCAGCCCCAAAATGGCCGCCCTGCTTCATAGAGGTGACTGCTTGGGCTTCAGGCAGAGCTCCAGGAATGGCTCGAAATCAGAGCAGCTCGGGCTATTCAGTTTATTCCGCAGAAGGCTAAGGAATGATGTGGTCACGATGCACAAGTACCAACAAAGAGAAGCATTCCTGACCGGAGAGGAGGCTGCAGCCTGGCAGGAAAAGGCAGGGCGTGGTCATCGAATCACAGAATCCCAGGGCTGGAAGAGACCTCAGGAGTCATCGAGTTCAGCCCCCTGCCCAAGGCAGGACCAACCCCAACTCAATCAACCCAGCCAGGGCTTTGTCAAGTCAAGACTTAAACACCTCTAGGAATGGAGATTCCACCCCTCCCTAGGGAACCCAGCCCAGCACTTCCCCACCCGCCCAGGGAAATAGATTTTCCTAATCTCCAACCTAGACCTCCCCCCCTGCAACTTGAGCCCATTGCTCCTTGTTCTGCCATCCCTCACTACCAGGGCCGGCTTTTGTTTTGGTGGGCCCCCCCCCGCCTTCCCCCCCAGGATTTTTTATTGGGCAAAAAAAACCAACCAAACAAACCCCACAACAAACCACAGCCACACGCAACTATCACATCAAGTAGATCTGATCAAAATGTATATCTATATAATTGAACATTTTAAAAAAATGCCATCCTTTATTATGCAAAATTGTACACAAAATTAAATCAGTTGCCTTAAGTGTAGGTCAAACTATCCAATCTTTTCTATGAAGTTTAAAGTTTGATTTTTAAAAACTTACCAGAGAGCGTTGCAGTTTTCTGTTACATTGATTTACTTTTTAAATAGCAAAAATGGAGTCTTGGTTAAGAGTGTCAGTTCTGGGGTCAGCGTGACTCAGGAGCTTCACCTCCTATTATACTTAGTCTATTTTTCAATTTCTAAAACTTTTAATTCAACTACTTTCAAATTTGAAGATTTGTTTGTGGAAATTTGGCCAAAAATGTACTTTAAAAAATGTAGAAAGAAAAATCTCTATGGGAAAATCAGTTGTTGAAATTATATTAATAGTCTTTATTTATGTAGAACCCTTTTATCCCAAAACATCCAAAGCAATTTATAGTTATAAACTATACTACACTGAAAGACTGCAGACAGACTGTGAAATGGACTCTGCATGAGAGGCAAACATTTTGTAAGGTCACAGGGTTAGTCCTTTGTTCTTACAAAAACGGTCATGGAATCTTTAATGTCTACTTGAAAGTAGAAATAAGGGATCTCCTAGAAAAGAGCTTATTTTCCGGAAAATCGCGTCTACACTGGTGCTTTTCTCTGGCAAAAACCCCAAGCCGGAAAAAAGCGGCAGCCCTGGTTGAAAGACACACACACAAACATACTAAAATGCACGGAACTCAAATAATTTACCTCGGAATTAACCTGTCATTCTGCAGATTGTAGATAATTCAGACTTGGTGCTTTGATTTCAGAACAACTAGACGGGATCAGACCAATGGTAAATTTAGTTCAGTATCATATTTTCCCAACAATGGACAGTGAACAAAAGGTGTTTCAGAGAAAATTAACAGGTAAACTATGGAGTGATCCATCCTCTGTGACCCAATCTCAGCTTCTGGTAGTCAGAGGTTTAGGGACATATGGAGTATGTGGTGGCATCCCTGACCATCTTCTGTACTATTCAAAAAATTTTAAAAAGATTCTGAATATCCCAAAATCCCACTGACTGCATGGAATGCTTGAGTTCTAGCAGCTCAGATTCATTTTGTGGTAGTAATACAGGCTTTTACCAAAAAAAGCAATATAACAGGGACAGACAGAATAATGGCAATTAACGGTGAACCATTTCGGGTAGTCAATAAATATTTTAAAAGAAATTATTTAATAACATTTAATGTTCCTAGTAATGACTAAGATGCAATTCTATAGATCAAATTTAACAGGAAACTTGGAAATGGCAGAGATGCTCAATGACTTCTTTGTTTCGGTCTTCACCGAGAAGTCTGAAGGAATGCCTAACACAGTGAATGCTAGTGGGAAGGTGATAGTTTTAGAAGATAAAATAAAAAAAGAACAAGTTAAAATCACCTAGAAAAGTTAGATGCCTGCAAGTCACCAGGGCCTGATGAAATGCATCCTAGAAAATCAATGAACTGATAGAGGAGGTATCTGAGCCTTTAGCTATCATCTTTGGAAAATCATGGGAGACAGGAGAGATTCCAGAGGACTGGAAAGGGGCAAATATAGTGCCCATCTATAAAAAGGGAAATAAGAACAACCCAGGAAACTACAGACCAGTTAGTTTAACTTCTGTGCCAGGGAAGATAAT